TTATTCAACTGTAGGTATAATCTCACAAATGTATTTTAGTGAACTTTAGGTATATAAGATAGTATAAGTTAACTTTTCTCACAAATGTATTTTAATGAACTTTAGGAATATAATATATAATGATCGGGTAAAAATTATAAACTTGGAGGTTAGCACAATATAAAAGGTTGGCACTGGGGGGAATCGCACGGCTGTATCAGCGGATCGCAAAAAATGGAAAAAAAGAAAAAAAAAACGAAATTGTTTCTCCGCCCCTTTTGTTCCCTTTCGGTTGTGGTGAAAAATGAAATGGTAGTATAGTTATGTGTGATGTAGATTGTAGGTGGTGTAGAGATGAGTGTGGTGAATGAAGCGTGCTAGTGACGTATGTTTTAATGCGGTGAGTGTAGAGTRTTCTGGATGCGGGATTATTGCTGTGGTTAGGTGTTCGGTGTTGGTTATGTTGTGTGGGCAGGAGAATGAAGCTCATTTGGCCATCCCGGCCCCCCTAGGCGAATATTTCAGCCTAGAAATCGTTGCAATTGCTGGAGCGTGGCTACAACGGTACTTAGGCCTGAGGTGCGGCGCGGACGGGGCGTTTGTTGCGGGCGTCGSGTCGACGTCCCATTCTGGTGCCGCCGGATACGGGATGATGAGGCGGTTGGCTGTCGACGCAATCGTGCATCCCGGCTTATTGGCGGTCGTCGTACAACGCCACGGTGGTGGCTACCAGAATGTTGATCGATGTCGTGTCTGGTGGTCCGGTGCAGCATGGTGTGRTGAGGCCACATACATATCTGGCACAGGTTTCCTGAAGTACACTCCTGGGTAGTGTGGGTAGGCGCCAGACAATTGAGGCAGTGGCCGTGTGCCTGGACGACGCGCAGCCTTTGCTGTGGTGGCAGTCCTTTAAAAATGGCGCAATGCATCAACCGGTGCGGTCGACGACATATTTTGCACCTGATGCGCTGCGGCTCTGCTGCGGGTATGGGCGTTGACGGTAGTGCTCGCGTTCCACTACGAGGACCCGTGGATGTGGTGGTTCGGGGAGCTGCGACTGGGCCAGCCGCAGATGGGGCTGCCGCAACTGGTGCTGCCACTTGGCGTGGCACGTGGATWGTCGAGCGAATGGTTGGCGTCGGAGCGAGTGGCATGTCTGCATCCATGTTTATCTGTATGGAAGAGTGGTATTTCAATTGTAAATTGGTTGCATGGAGTGGATATGGGTATGGCTGCCACGATGTGGCATAAGTGGATCGTCTAGTTGATCGACCATTAAGTTGTTTTGCTTGTGATTTTATAATATTTATTTTATCGGGTTTGTTGGATGTTTTATCGTTCACGTTTCGATTGGCGGTCGGTAAAAAGCATAGCTTAACGAGCGGTCTTGTTAACTTTCCTGATTGCGTACKVAGATCRACTACGCGAATATGACCGTCGGAGCCCTGGTAAAGCTTCTCTATGCGGCCAAGCCGCCATTCGGTAGGGGGAGACATTCGTCCTGTATCAGGACACAATCTCCAATCTTTGGCGCATTTACTGTAATTTTCCATCGGTACCTCTTGTGGAGGTCCTTGATATAGTCTTC